CCCTTCTACCTTGTTTGTTTGTTTTATTGATAGAAACCAACTCAAACTCCATCTGTAGCATAAAAAACACAAAGGGATGATTTTTAAGTATTAGAGCTGTGATGGAATGAAGTCACTGAGGCAGATCCAGAATTGAAATGGTGCCTTCTGCCTCTTAGTTGCACTATGTAAAGATGTGGGATTAGCCAGATTTTTCTTAATGGGTTTGGCTAACTGCTTCTTCAAGGTCTTAAGGTCTCACAAGTAAGTGTACATACAGTATAAGACATTTGTAAACACGCAATATTGACCCAATCTTTTGGGCTTTCATTCTATGATTACTGAGCTTTCCTGTAAGCTTTTTCCCTCCATAGATTCTCCAGGGAGAGAAGGAACATTCTTCATACTGCTAGCCTCTTTAAAGAATGACCTCCTTGTCTCAAAGAGGATCTTTTGTTATTAGCAGTAAAAATTAATTATCAGAAAGCTATGGTCAAGATGGAGGTGTAAGTAGGCGAATTTTGCCTCCTCACACAACCACAAGAAGAATTACAACTAACCTCAACATAAAAACACCCAGAATTGCCAGAAAATCAAACTGTATGGAAGTCTAACAACCAAGGATTTAAAGAAGCCACATTCATCCAGATGGGTGAGAGGGGTAGAGTTGCGGAGAAGGTAGAGAGGCTGAGTGGTATGGAGAGGCAGCAGAGGTGGTGGCGGAAACAAGTGGTCCTACATTTACGTGTGTTGGATAAAAATTGGAGGGATACCTTGAGAGGGAGCAATCCCAGTCCCAAGCCAGACCACACAGCCCAAGGTTCCAGCACAGGGAAGATAAAGCCCTATTACCTCTGGCTATAAAATCCAGTGGGGGTTGGTGTGGTAGAAGAAACTGCCAGTTTCTCAGGAGAGTTCATTTAAAGGGCTGGCATGGGCTTAGAATGTTTGAAAATCTACTCACTCTGGGAATCTCCACCAGGGCAACAGCTAGGAGGGTGGTAGTCGCATACAGAAAGTGGGTGAAGTGACTGGGAACGGGGCAAGTGCCGGGCATATTTACAGAAGCCAGGCAGCAGCATTGTCCCCTCTCCAGTCTCTCCCCTGACACAGAGCCACAGAACAGTGAAGTGGGTTGCCCTACCCTGGCCAATACCTAAGGCTCCACCCCATACAACTTAACAGGTGTGATAAGACAGGGAGTCAAGTCAGAGCAGCTCTACCTAATATGCAGACACTATCACAGGGAGGCTGCCAATTTGAGGGGACAAAGAAATATGGCCCAAATGAAAGAACAAAAACAAAAAACAAAAAAACCCAAAAATAACTAAATGAAAGGGAGATAGCCAACCTGTCAGATGCAGGGTTCAAAACACTGGTGATCAGGATGCTTGGAGTACTCATTGAGTATGGCAAAAACATAATAGAAAAAAATGAAAGTTACACTAAGTAAAATAAAGAAATATCCACACAGAACCAATAGTGAAGGGAAGGAAGATGGGATTCAAATCAATGATTTGTAACATAAGGAAAGAATAAACATTCAACCAGAACAGAAAGAAGAAATAAGAATTCAAAAAAATGAGGGGAGTATAAGAACGCTCTGGGACATCTCCAAAAGTGCCAGAATCTGAATCATAGAGGTACCAGAAGGAGATGAGGAAGAGCAAGAAATTGAAAATTTATTAAAAAATATAATGAAAGAAAACTTCCCTAATTTGGCAAATGAAATAGACATAGAAGTCCGGGAAGCACAGGGAGTCCCAAACAACTTGGACCCGAAGAGGACCACACCAAGATATGTCATAATTAAAATGCTAAAGATTAAAGATAAAAAGAGAATCTTAAAAGCAGCAGGAAAAAAGCAGAGTTACCCACAAAGGAATTCCCATAAGACTATCGGCTGATTTCTCAAAAGAAACTTTTCAGGCAATAAGGAACTAGCAAGAAGTATTCAAAATAATGAAAAGCAAGGACTTACAACCAAGATTACGCTATCTAGCAAAGTTACCATTTAGAATGGAAGAGCAGATGAAGTGCTTCCCAGACAAGGTAAAGTTAAAGGAATTCATCATCACTGAGCCATTATTACATGAAATGTTAAAGGGAATTATATAAGAAAAAGAAGATCAAAGCTATGAATATTAAAATGGCAAGAAATTCACAAATACCAACAACTGAATCTAAAAAACAAATGAAGCAAACAAGCAGACCAGGAACAGAATCATAGATATGGAGAAAATTTGGAGGGCAATCACCTGGGAGGGGGAAGGAGGGAAATGGGGGGGAAATGTGCAGAGATTAAGAAGCATGAATGGTAGGTACAAAATAGATGGGGGAGGTGAAGAATAGCATAGGAAATGGAGAAGCCAAAGAACTTATATGCATAACCCATGGACAAGAACTAAGGTGGGGGGATTGCTGGAGGGAAGAGGGTGTTGGGCAAAGGGGGGAAAATTGGGACAACTTTAATAGCATAATCAATAAAATATACCTTAAAAATTGTCAGAAAGCTAACGTTTTTAAAAGCAAAAATTTCATTTTGGAAGGGGAAAATATCTAGTCTCAGGCCCTAGAACATATAAGGTTAATGGCAAATTTACTTCAAGAACAGCAATATGAAAAGCAAAATGGCTAAGTCTGCTGAGAAAGTATCAACCATATTGTTCCCTTGTTTCTAGAAAATTAAACAAGCCTTTAGAAAGGTTGAAAAGGTGTCCATGGCGCACTCTCAGTTTACTTTGTAAATGTGTATTCCCTCTTCCTGTGGTTCCAGAGGCACTGGCATGTGCTCAAGTTGACGGCTACTGGTGTCTTTCTGGTGTCTCCTCATTAAGGGCTTGGTGTCTTTCCAAATGACAGGTGGTTCCCTCTGCTGGTTGAACTTAAATTCAGCCTTCTAAGCTGAGCCACCCTGGGAGGAATCACCATCAGCCTCACTGATTATTAAAACATGGTTTTGACTTTCATCCTCAAAAAACTAACCATCTGTGACCAGTTGAAATGCAGTCAAGAACGGGTGATGGCCTTCCTTGCTCCCTCCCGCCCTCCTTCCCTCCCTCCCTCCTCCCTCCCTCCAACTCCCTGCCAGAGCTCTGACCTTGACTCCTAGCACTCACCTCTCCCTGCTGCAGGCACACTGGCCTCCGGCTCTGCTCTTTTTGTAACACCAAGCATCCTCCTGCCTTGGACCTTTGCATCTTTTGTTCCTTCTGTGTGGGACTTACTTTATCCAGAGCCATCTTCTACATATCATTGTGGTCTTTCCTGAAATGTTACCTTCTCAGTGAGATCTTTCCTGATCTCCTTGCTTAAAAATGTTACATTTTTCCCCAAACTCACTATATTACTTTGCTAGGGCTGCCATAACGAAGAGCTGCAACTCAGGTGACTTAGGACCACAGAAATTTATTATTTCACAGTTCTGGAAGTCTGAAAGCCATGCACCCTCTGAAACCTGAAGGACGTCCTTTCCTGCCTCCCCCTGGCTTCTGCGGGGTGCCAGCAGCTCTTGGCCTTCCTTGGCCTGCAGCTGTATAACTTGTCTCTGCCTTGGTCATCACGTGGTGCTCCCCATGTGTGTGTCTGTTGTCACATGGCCACCTTCTTATAAGGATACCAGTCTTATTGGAGTAGGAGCTGGTTCTGCTCCTCACCTTAAGTAATTATGTCTGTTACGATCCTATTTCCAAAAAAGGTCACATTCTGAGGTACTGATTGTTAGGACTTCAGTGTTTCTTTCTGCAGGGGGAAAGGGCCATAATTCCACTTGTACCATTCCTCATCATTTCCCATCATGCTGTGTTTCTCCAGAATGTGTAACACTATTTGACCAATCATGAATTTTACATTTTTATTAAGTTTATTGTCTGTCTTCCCAACCAAAAAGGAGGGGCATCAGGAAGATTGAATTTCGAGTTATGTTCACTACTGTAGACAGTGGTTCCTGACACCTTAGCAGAAACTCAATAAATATTTTCTGAATAAATGATTATCTGTGTTCAGTTATTGTACTGAGCAGACCATACAGCATGATATGGACAAAAAAACATTAGATAAAGAAAGAAAATAATTACCTGTAAACAAAAATCCAAGGAAATGAACAGATGCTTATAATTATGATATCCTTATTTCAAAGAAGGTCATATGAAGAAAGCAGAAGTAGAGGTCAGAGCAGAGGGGCTGACCAGCAGAGGGTTATAGTGTACATTGTCATCAAGTGTTTTATGGGTAGTGAGGTCTCTCTAGCCTCCTTGTCACTTCTTGTAACTTGCAGTTAACCCTGAAAATAAGGTGGGCACAGGGGTCTCACTTTGCCTGAACATCTAATGTGTTCCAGGAACTAGAACTGTGCTTGGTACTAATTCTTATTTTTTTAAAAATTCATCCTCTTGGTAGATATACCCCTCAGATATCATCGTGCCCATGTGACAGAGGTGGGAAGTGTGTGAGATACAAAGATAGTAAATGCATTACTAAGGATTCAAACTCAGGCCAAAACTCATGTTCCTTCCATTGGCAGATTTCCTCAGAGTCTTGTGGACATCACGGTTTCAGAGAAGAGGCAAGTAAAGTGACCCACAAAATACTGTTTACACGGATGATTTGGCACGAACCACTTCAAAACCAGAGTATTTTTCCTACCAGACTCATGGGTCACCCTCATCTTTTTGCAAAATAGAAAGTTCCAGGGCCAGGACTGCTGAGCTCCTGAGGTTGGTCAAATAATGCAGGCAGAACAGTCCTAGGGTAGAATGAGGAGATGGAGTGTCGAAGCACCGTCTACCCCTTCCTGTATGTGATCTTGTGTGAGTCACTTAAGCCACTTTTGAACTACAATCTCTCTTATGCAGAGTAACGGTAATGCCTACAGAAACCATACTAGCAGCTTTATTCTATCCTTTTAACAACACCAGTGCGGTCAGCTAACTCAGTATTCGTGGTCAATGTTCCTAATGAAGGTTTACCTAGAAGCTTTCAGATCAATCCTGAAATCTCTGGATCTCTTGTTTTTGGTGTAGGTATCCCAAACCACCTGCCTGCCGAGACCCTACGTAAAAGCCTTGCATATCCTGCCACTGAGCGCTGCAGAGGTAACAGTCGTTGGAGAGGTAGTGTTTACTTAATTTTAAATAGTTTGTTATAATTGACCTACTATGGGCATCCTTATAATAGTACATATAAAATAGAACTTTTAAAATTATAAAATGTCGGGCTCAATTCCCTTTGAGAATTTACCCTCTCTTGACTTCTATTTGTAGCTGCCATTTTAAAATTGGGGTATAAATGTTATGTCAGTTAAATAAAGGAGTGATGACTTCATTTTTTAAAGAAAGCATTATCGTTTTTTTCCCTGTGAAATGTAGCTTAACTGTTACCTGATTGACGTGCTATTATATTATTCTCACCCCACCAGACAATTACACATGTTTAATAATTTTTATGTGTAAAAAGCAAGGTTAAACATTACACAGTCAGGTTTGTTATGCTTTGCACGGCTTTGAGAATTCTCGTGGAATCAAAATGAAATTAGTAGCAGCAGGAGGGTGTTTCTGATATGAAACATATCTCATAAAATGGCACGGTACTGTTACTGGTCAGAGTTAAGTCCTAGTGACATACATTAGGACCAATGAAGGATACATCTTGTCTTGAAGGGAGGGCAAAATAGTCACTTATCTATCTTCATATGTCTTTGAATAGTTGCACTGGCTTTCTTGAGTATGCATTTAAAAAAATAGCAAGAAAGGAGGAAAAAAGAGCTAATGTGATAAAATTTCCCCAGCATGTTGTCCGTGGAATGTACTCCTTTAACCTCTCCTAGAGCTCATGGGGGGGTGGGGGGGCGGTGTGTGTGTGTGTGTGTGTGTGTGTGTGTGTGTGTGTGTGTATTTTTTTCACTCCTCTCTTTTTCTGTCACCCCCTCTCATTTTTACTCCCTTAAAAATAGTTCCCATTAAGAGGTCTTGACAAACAATTTAACATATTTAATAAATACAGATGTTGAAAAGCTCCATGTGCCAAAACACAAAGATACTATGTATATTCATTTTGTTGCTGCAGGCAAGACCCTGGCTCGGGTTTCCACTTTATGTTGTCTGTCTGCTAACTGCTGACTCTTCCTTCCTTTCGGTTTCATTCCATAGTCACTTGAAACCCATGGTTTAGGCAGGATTGCCCCTGAAGTTTGTAGGGCTGTGAGACACTGCAGCATCTTCTAGATTAGAAGCACTCCTGAATGCAGGTGTGGTGGGATGAGGCCGGCATCTTCACTTCATAAAGTGCCCAATTCCTCTCTGGTGAGTCACCTGCCCGATTAGAGTTTATCTAGAAAACAGAGGTTCAGGGTCAGTAAATGAGGTGAAATGGAGCACTGGTATTACATGCCTCTTTACTATGAGTCTTTGCACGGAATCATTTGATCCTTGTTATTGCTGTGGTTAGTGCTTTTAAGCCATTAAGCAAGGCTTTCTCTTTTCTATTTTTTCAACGGGAAAGCTATCAATATAAAATATGTATCTAAAAGAGGGGCATTTTAATGTAAGTAATTAATGGAAAGAGGAATTGTAGAATATAACTTCAAGTGTTAGAATCTTCACTTATCCCTCCTTGCTTGGAAAGAGTTCCCTTTTTATTTCTAAAATAAAGGGCATGTGCTTCCTAATGCCAGATACACACTCTTTGCTGCTTATCCTCTTATCAGGTGACTGACTTGGATTCCTGGTTTTTGCTGTGTGATCTCAGTTAACTCACTTAACATCTCTGAATTCTGGTCTTGTCCTTCATAACAGGAGGCTAATTATAGGATCTCCTGGAATGGTTATTAAGGATTAAATGACAATTCAGGTAAAATGATTAGCAAAGTGTCTGGCATATAAACCCCCTAAAGAATTGGTAGTCATAGGAATATTATTAGAAGGAAATGTGCACTTACCAACTCTGTGTTTGTATTTAAGGATAGTATTTTTAACATTCTACTTCTCTTAGGATATTACCTTGCAGTTTTCAATGAAGTAGGATATAGAGATATCCTAGAACAAAAAAAAAATAAGGTAAAATAAATAACATGACAATATTTCATGTAAATAACCTTTGGTAACCATGATCCTGTACGAGCGTCATTGCTTTCAGATGAAATGCTGCCAGTTTAGTAGCAAGACCTAATTGCTGTTTTATCATTTAACTTTACGCCATGCTTTCATTCTTTCTGAATCTTTTCACATGCTTGGCAAGATGATCAACAAAACTCTGAGTCTGACTTAAATTTCTACTTGAAACCAAAACCAAGTATCACTGGATGAAGTTATGGGTACAGGGTAAGAACTTTGAGTCGAGGAACTAGGAGAAGCAAAGGAATGTTTTTGAAACGTTTTTTCTTCTTTTCACTTCTAGTTTGACTTTACTGAACCTGACATTCTCACAGGTGACAACAATGAAGTATGAGGGGAAAAAAACTACCTGACAGCATTAGGTAGTACAAATAAGCAGGAAGATTATAGAGGGGAATTGAAATTCAACACTTGGAAGCAGGGATCAGTGCAGAGTGAGTTCCCCATTTTACAACTATGAGACTAAAGACAGGCTAAAGTTAACATGACATGGGATGGCTAACTCCAGTAGAAAGCCCACAGTCTTTTTGGTTTGTAAACCCAAAGAGCAGAGTTCAAGGTAACCACCAACACTGGAAAATGAAGCTAGAATCCTGGAAATGAGGGAGGCAGACAGGGGAAGTTCACAGTTCTCTGTGTAAACGCTGCCCACATTTTTGACTGACCCTTGAAGCACAGATGCAAGGAGGAGACACACACTAGCACAGCTGAAGATGCAAGAACTGAAATGAGATTTGAGCTGCCAACCAATAGATATTCTTCAATTTGAGTGTAACAGAGTTAATTGCCCACTAAAAAAATAAATCAGTGTTCCTCAAAGATCTTTAATAGGCTCCATACCAAAATATTAATATTCATACATTCACATGATACAACCCAAAATCACATAACATAGGAAGAACCAAGAAAATGTAAACCCTTCTGAACTGAAAAAGCAATCATCTGGGACTAATTCCGTGGTCATCCAGAAGTGTGATTTAGCAAAGATTTTAAAGAAGCTATTATAACCATACTCAATGAAGGACAGAAAAATACATTCACGGTGAATAAAAACATAGCAACTAAAAACACAAAAAGAACCACATGATAATTCTACAACTGAAGAATATATTTGAAATACAAATTCACTGAGTGGACTTATATCAGAAGTAACGGAGGAAGATGTCAGTGAACCTAAAGATAGATCAGTAGAAATTTTCTTTCTAAAGAAAAAAAAGATTTAAAATACTGAACAGAAAAAACAGTAAGCAAAGGAAGCTTCAGGGGCCTGTGTAACAAAAATAAAAATGCATAACATATGTGTCAATGGATTCTCAGAAGGAGAGGAGAAAGAGAATGGGACAAAAATATTTGAAGAAATAATGACTAAAAATTTTCAAATCCAGTGAGGTGCATAAATTTATAGATCTAGAAACTCCACGAACCCCATACATAATACATTTGAAGAAAACCATGCCTGGGCTCATCATATTCAAACTTGTGGATACCAATAATAGAGAGGAAATCTTGATAGTAGCCAGAGAAAAATGACATGTTACCTTTCAGGGAACAATGCTTTAAGTGTGCACTGACTTCTAAAAAGAAAATACAGAGGCCAGAAAAAGTGAAGCAGTTTTTAAAGTACAGAGGAAATAACCTGTTAAACACCCAGAAATCTATGTATAGTGAAAATATCCTTTGAGGATAAATGCAAATTAAAGACATTTTCAGATCAAACTAAGAATTCATTGCCAATAGATCTGCACCACCAGAAATGCTAAAGGAAGTCATTCAGGTAAAGTGAGATAAAACGGAAGCTTAAATCTTCAGGAAGGAATGAAGACTGTCAGCGATGGTAAATATGAAAATATTTTTTCATCTTAGTACCTTTAAAATACATAGAGCCTTTATTTTTAAAATCCTCATCTGAGGATATGTTTGTTGATTTGAGAGAGAGAGGAAGGGGAAAAGAGCAAGAGAGAGAAACATCAATGTGAGAGAGAAACATTGATTAGTTGCCTCCCATATGCTCCCTGACCAGGAATTGAACCCATGATGTTGATATGTGCCCTGACCAGGAATAGAACCCACAGACTTTTGTTGTATGGAATGATGCTCCAACCAACTCAGGTGACTGGCCATAGAACTTTTTAAGGAAAAAATTGTAACACTGCTTTATGGTATTTATAATATACTATGTATAGATGCAATACATTGGACATTTCTAGTATAAAGAATGATAAATGGACTTATATACTTTCAAGATTTTCACAGTGTAAATATACTGTGAAAGGTCAAGATGTATATATGTTTTATTCCTTAAAAGAGCCACTAAAATTACAATAGATAAAATAGAATACTAACTTAAACAAAATTAAAGTACACAATGAAGACAAACAGGAAACAAATAATAAAATTGTAGTCCTCTATGCAACCATATCAGTAATTATATGACTATGTCCTTTACTTAATATTCAGTGTTTATCAGAATTGATTAAATAGAACTACAACTATATTCTATTAAGAGACAACTCTTGTATTTAAGATAGAGATAAATTTAAATTGATGGAAAAGAAATAGCATGGAAGCAACATAAGAAATCTAGAGTGGTTATATTAATATCACACAAACTTTAAGACAAAAAGTATTATCAAAGATAAAGAAGAGCATGTCAAATAAAAAAAAAGCGTCATCCATTAAGATGACATAAGAATTATAAAATGAGGGTATGTATCCAATTCCAAGTAAGATCATTTGAAGTATTTTGTAGTCCAGACTTTTTTGAGGACTAACTCAACTATGAGTCAAGAGACATCACTTTGAGCTAACAAACATTTAATAAAATCAACAACTATTTAATAAAATGTGTGGAATCAAAGTTCAATACAAGTGAGAAAAAGAATAGTTGGAGAGTATGGATATCTGTATGCCTCGCTGCTATAAGTATGTCATTACACAATATTGTGCAATGCATCTTTTCTTCATATAATGCATTGTATATGTTT